TAAGTTAATGATGATATAATAAGACAGTGGGACACGTGGTGACAAGGGTTTAATTAGCTCAAATTAGAAAGAAAAACAAGTTTTGATGTAACAGCTTACGTTCAAAAACCAGGAGGTGAGAGAGGGTTCTTTTCAGTTGTATCGCATTAGAAAAGGGATGAGGAAGTGCTTAGAAGAAAACTAGCATAATTAGCAGTATCGCATGTGTGTGTAGAATCTAGCGCACAAAAGGGACGTTGATAAAACCCAAAAAAAGGTGCCAAATCTAGTAGCCAAGTGGTCAAGTCCCAACCTCCAAATCCAACTAACCAGTAAGCAAATTCGCAAAGCATGTAAGAAATAAATATTCTTGGGTAGGGTTGCTGAAGGCAAAATCATCGTGTGTTCTAGTGTGATCAAAATTGAGTGTGTTTTGCAAGTGGTAGATTCCTTCAATAGTTTTGATTTCTTTGTTTAATTAACTGTATTCGGGTTTCAAACTCTTTTTTATTGGTAGATTATGTAAAATATCGTTTATAATAAAAAAAAGTTCAATGCATTTTTACTTTTATGTGATCGGACTCAGGTAGTCTTACCGAATATTTATACTGTAAAATGTTGGGCATAATGCTTGATTATTAACTGTGGACCTATAAAGATTTAAAAAAAAAAAAAAAGCAATCATTTATGTACTATTATGTGAAACGACTATTCTTAGGAAGTGAGTGACTTTTCTTAACATTTTGTTTGTATGCACCCATCTTGAAATACTTAGTCACTAATATCTATTTTGATATGGCCTGTTCTTAATTCTTAAGGGCTTTATGTTTAACAAGAATTGAAATGTTGAAAATGCTAATGGGTAATGAATGCCCACAGTAATATTTAAATCTTTGGTAAATGAATGAAAACCTTGGCAGATGAATGTAGACTTTGGAAATAACATGATCCTATTTTCAAAGTCATGGGATGAAAATTTCAAATTGTAATAATGCGAGTTGCTCTATAAATAGAGCACTCGACTGCAATCAAAACAGACAGGAACGAAAGAAAAATCAATAACATCATCTATTCCTCCGTCTTTTATTTGTCATCCTCTTGTGCTATAATTACAGTGTGATATTTTACATCTGTTTCGCTTCATTCACTAAAAAGGTTATCCCTCTAACTTTTACATATTTATAACATGAAACTTTTTTTTAAGTCAAAGTAAGATTTATAGGGCATTTGACTTTGTCATGGCCATATGAGGTCATCTCTAACCGAACGCTGATCAGATGGCTCGTTTTAGTTATCTGACCCTCTAAAATATAATATTTTAATTAACAGTACATGGTTATATTTGTCTCCATCTCCAATCGATGGCCAAATGGACATAGGGTTCGTTTTAGCCCTGTGACAAAAAATTGTCTCTAACCGAGGGCTAAAGGGTCATAGGGCCAAACAAAATTTATTATTTAAATTTCAAAACTACAACAACTTAAATTTAAAATGATAAAAATAATTTTTTTCAAAAAAATTTAAAAAATTTTGGCCCAAAAAAAAAAAGAAGAAAAAAGAAGAGGACGTCAACTGGTTGGCCTTTTGACATTTTTTTATCCCATGAAGTCCACGAACTATTTAACCTAACATTCGATTGAAGACAATTTTCAATCTTTGAACCATTTGAAGATTGGAGATGAGCTGAGGGATGACGAGCGAATACAGCGGTTCAAAGGACAAACCATTGAATTGAAGAGAGCGTGATGCAACAGTATGGCACGGTCCCGTCGTCAATTCCTACCCCGGAAAGCATGATGACCTAAAAGTTGTAATACGACGTAATACGACTGAAATACCCTCCAACCAGTAGCAGGAAGGTGGTGGTCCTGGGAGGGCATTTAGGGAAGAATGTGCATCGGGGATGGTGAAGGGGAGTCTAGAAATCTGGTGGGTTCTGGGCCCTTTTCTCTGGGCATGTAATAAGCAGGAGACTGCTCTCCTGCCTGGGACTCCGGGTAGCAGAAAATGAAAGTCAGGACTCTGCAATTTCCTAGGCACTCCCAAACTCTGAAAACTACAGACTTGTCAATAATATCATAATATGCACGTTACATGAGAGCTTTTTCAAGATAAAACAGACACAACAACCACGTCAAGTAAACCAGCAAAAAAGTGCGTACAACCGTTTTTTAAAATAAAATACGATTGAGTTCAATATTTTATAAAGGGTTTCTCCATTTTAATCCTTGATAAAGATTGAAATTCAATTAAAACTTTATGTTAGATTATATATTCATTATAGTCCTTTGATTAAATTTCCATGTCAGTATAAATATTAAAATTTATATTTTCTTGTTTTGAAATATTTAATGCGTTTTTTGGGTTCCTATAATGCCCCTATTAAATATATGATTTTAATTTGCTCCATATTTTTTGGCATTGATTATTGTTTGACTTTCTAAAATGATAAACATAATTCAAAAAAATATTAGTGATACGTTACAAGAATTAACAAATACCTAATTCAAATTATTCATTATCACCATTCAAAGCATAGAGGAAATATAAATAGCCAAATCATATATTTTACATAACTGAATACACTTAAACCATGTCCTAATGTGCTTAAATCATATAACCTAGTCGAATGCACATAAATCATAGTACCAAGTCAAATGCACCTAAACCATGGTACTTATATGAATGCACCTAAATCATGGTACCTATATGAATGCACCTAAATCATGGTACCTATATGAATGCACCTAAATCATAGTACCTATATGAATGTACCTTAATCATTTAGGTACTATCAATTAGGTCTTATCCATTCGGTATGGTCGGTTAGGTACTATATAGTGTATGTCCGATTAATTTGGTACGGTCAATTAAGTTGTGATTTCACATTCTATTTTCTTAATTTGTATTTTTTTTTCATTTATCTCTGGATTCACCTTCAATTTGGCATCTAAAAGCCCCTTTTTTCTTGTTTCTTCCAAATACAACAAGATTTTTGGTTTGTAAGTTTTATGGCTTTTTTTGTTTGATCATGGTTTCTGAGTTTTCTGGGTTCTTTGATTGGAATAACACATGGAGATTTATGTTATAACAAACATGTTAATTATGGATCTAGTTAATTAAGCATTCTTGAAAAATTAATTATATATTTGTTTCTCTAATTGGTTTTAAAGAGTAATAAGGGTAAATAGGGAAACTAAAAATGCAATAAATTTATTAAAAAATGATTAAATGTGACATGGAATACTATAATCTGACATGGAGGACTATTTTTAGTTTTTAATCTTACATACGGTATTATTGAAAAAGCAATCTTATTTAGGGATTAAAATGAAGTTTTCTATTTTATAAATTGTGAATCTGTTTAATTATGATCATGAGTAGATTGTAATTTTTAACAACTATCTTATAAATCTTGATAAAGTGAATAACCATAATTCATTAAGAAATACTAACTTGTATTTTAATAACACGTAAAAATTTATCGACGCACATTTTCAATTAAAGAAGTTCTTATTTGGTGTTACTATTTAGTACGGTGGTATGTTATGCATGTCATAACAAACAATTTATGTATTCTGATGCATGCAACATGAACATGCATTTCATTTGTGAATTGACCAGTCTACGATAATAAAGTTGGAGTAGGATTATCTCTCCTCTTATTACCATCACCTGCTCTTACACTATTCTTTTTGTCTTATTCTTTATATAAAAAATTCAAAACAAGATGTAAACCTGACGTAATTGCAACCGTTAAAATACGAGGGGATAAAAGGAGAGAGAGATTAGTTTGTATACCATTACTTAAAAAACTACAATGAGCTAACACAGTTAGTGATCATATTAATAAACAATACTTCTTGGCTTCTTGCTGGTATTATCAATTGTTTCTTACAGGTGGAGTCAAATGGAGTGATGCAACGTGACAAAGAGAAGAATAAACAACATTCTTAAAGAACAAAAGCACTGCAATTCACCAGAAAGTATGGGATAATCTCAAAGTTTAATGTTGAATAATTGATAATACAGCAAACCAAAGGCAAGATGATCTGTTTATAATACCCTCGAAATCACCCAATAAAAAAGGAATCAAACAAATAACAAAATATAGGAAACGTCTTGAAATATCAGAATCTGATTTTGGGCTAAAACGATAGAATTTGGTCGAAAAATCCCACAAAGCACCATGTCTCGCTCCTCGAAATGTCAGGTCAGGGGCTTGAATTGGATATCGAAGTCTAGATCTACAACGCTTTGTTTTGGTCCAAGTTTATGCTTTTCGACTTGATTTTTAGTTCACTTTACAATGTGATCTATCTACATGAATCATGATGATGATTATGTGTGAGAGAAAATGGTGCATTTTGGGTGTGACAAATGTTTCCATTAGTAGTTAAATTATGAAAGATAGTTCCATTAACTAAAGTGAATATATAAAATGTCATAACGATAGATCATAAGAATTAACCTAATAAGGGAAAGATATGACTAATTATGAAAGAAGACTGAAAGAAGGGTGAAGGGTCCCCTCTAAAGTCTAAATCATCACACATAAATCCCAAAAATAGAAACATAAATAATAGTAAACCAAATTTATATAGAGCGATGTAATGCTTGACACCAATTCTTAAGTCTTGAGTGGATGCATTACACCGTATGTATTTTAGGAGAAAAAATAGAGAGTTTTAACGAAAAGTCCATGGTACTGTTCACTTTAACGAAAAATCACATTTTTACACTAAAAAGTCAAACCTGGTATTATTTATTTTACCATTTATTTTGTCCTTATAATTAAAACTCAAAGTTTTCAAACTTTTTTCATTGATTTATTTTTTTTTAAAATAAGGTAACGTACGTTGTCAGTAAGGCCATAGGATTATAAACCTAAATAAAAATATCAGGTAGACCACAAAAGTCTATTTGTTAAATTATTTAGTAAGTAGTTTTTTCAAGCTTTTTCACGGCTCCAAAAGAGAGAGAGAGAGAGATGACGTTTGTAATTTTTGTGTTTTAGCTACTCTCTACTGCTATAAATACTACTGCCCTTCCCATAACTCATAGCCCTTCATACTCAGATATTTCAGAAGATCTAGCTACCAAGCTGCTTCATCGTCTTCTTCTTCCTCTTCTGCTGGTGGCTTAGGAGTTTAAATAGTGTGGAAGAATCTGTTAAGCTCAGGAGGGATAGCGCCATTCTCGGTTTGGTTTAACCACGTATCGCGCTATCCATCTTGGGCTTCATGGCTTCTTCTTACTCTCTCTTGCAGTACAACTTTGGCATAAAGAACACTTCAAGTAAGCTTAATTTGTTATTGTTTTCATAATCTTATGTTTGAGAAGGCTAATATGCTTTGTTATCTGAAGTTTTTCATCGCCAAAAGAAACATCTGGTAAACAAAAATGTGTTGCAAGCGAAACATATCTGCTTGAAAGCTGAAACATCTGCAGACTCAGTGTTTGACTTTGAGTCAAATGAAGGGATCTTGAATGTTTGCCAAGATTTCAAAGAGACGGACTAGCGGCCCTTACATCTGAACGAAGGGATCATTTCAAGATTTTACAGAGACGGACCAATGACACCTATATCTGAATGAGGGGATGTAGGCCATTTTCATGTTCAATTTATCTGTTCCGTTTACATCTGAATTTGATGTTTTTCTTTTATTATTTAGCAATTTGAAGCTAAATATTTGCTTAATTAAGCTTAACTTGTAAAAACCCCCCAATGCCAAGGAACAATATAAATATGTATGTCCTTGATATACGATAATGATTTTCCTTTGATTATTTTGTTAACGATCCTCCTTTTTCATGTGTTGCTTCCTTTGCTTCCACAATCCATAGTTATTGTACTAGATTAGTTCACCATAAAAAAAGTTACTGTGCTAAATTGCTAATTAAGCTTTTAAAAATAGATTAAAAATAAGGAAAACTAACGAAAAATTAAAAAAAAACTTCCCTTTTAATGAAAAGTTATTTTAAAGATATAATGAATAGTACTAGGGAAATGTATAAATATGGTTTTTCATTAAAAGTGAACAGTACCGAGAGTGTTTTGTTAAAACTCTTAAAAATATGCAGAAACAAGAAAATATGAAACTGAAAGACTTATCCGAAGTCACATGGAAAGGTGAAGAACTGGAGTTGGATGTTGACCAGTTCCCAACCCAAGCTGGCGAGTGAATAAGTTAGGGGACTCAGATATTTCACCTTCAATTGCCTAAAGTTTAGCTAAAAGATTGTGCAATTTTGGCACCTATTTTCGTACTCCTGATTATTTTGTTACCATTTCAGGTAACAATTCCCTTGGTTGTTGCCTCCACTAAAATACAAACCATTCACTCCCGACAGCTTTAATTTTTCTTTCTTTTCGCTTTCGTCTTTTTGGGTTTTTACTTTGGCCAAATTTTCTTCTTGGTTCCTATGTTGACACGGTACTTTTAATGTGACTTTTGTGGTGAAAACGTTATTAATTAAACTTCCGTGGTGAGCCCTATTAGCAATTGAGGTCCAAATCCAAACTTCCGTTAGTGTTCCGTTAAATAAACTCATGTGACTATCACGTGGATGAGTCAAATTCATCATTTCAATTCAAATTACATCTCATTCCATGGACATCTAGCATGACTTAGGTATACTATATACGTGTGTTCTTTCTGGGTGAGTTATGACATGCACTTGTTTCTCTTGTGAGTTGGCATCTAATTCCAGTGTACAAAGCAAATTGAAACAAAAGGGGACATAATTTACATTAGCCATTCACGAGAGAAAAAATAACTTCATCATTTCTTATACCATAATGTAGTTTGCACACTAATGACAAAAGCATATATCCAACCCGGGAAAAAAATAAAATAAAATAAAAAGACAAAAGTATGTCTTCCACAATATATTGTGGTTCATCATAACAAAAAGTAATTAAAAAAACTTTCCACAAAATAAACAAATAATCTAGTTTTTCACAAAATAAAATCAATTTCCTCCGCTTCATCATTTTTATTTGCAAGGTATTGTGCTTTTTCATCTGTTGATTTTGCATGTTGTGCATTGGGGCCATTCCAGAAGGTCTCCAAGGATTTATAGAATTTGATGATATTGCAGAGGTCATTCCCGGAGGACTCCATGGTGCATTGAAAGGTTGTGTACTGCAAGACCACGGCATGCATCAAACCACACTACGAATTAAAGACAAAATTGAAATGCATATATGCAGACTCGTACAAATTGATAGAAAAATTAAAATTCAAATAAGACTAAGTATCTAACTCATGATTAAAGACGTGTTGACATTGAAAAAAAAAACAAAAGTTTATTAAAAGTATTAGGATTTCCAAACGAAATCATACCTAAGAAATTAGGCGCGACTTCACATTTACCTCTTCTCCTAGCCATTGACAAGGTTTTATAAGTTTAGTTTCACTGCGTTTAAGTTTTTTTATTTATTTTTTATTTTTTGGTAAAATCTAATTTCAGTTAAACCCTAAGTCAGACTAGATGTCCACTGCATACAATGTAATTTGAATTGAAATGACGAATTTGACCCCTCTATGTGAGAGTCATATGAGTTTATTTAACGGAAGAATAACGGAAGTTTGGATTGGACCTCAATTGCTAACAAGGCTTACTACGAGGGTTTAATTAACAACTTTTTCACCACGAGGGTCACATTAAAAGTGTCGTGTTACCACAGGGACCAAAAAAAAAAAATTGGCCTTTTACTTTTTAATATGCTTCGATGTATTCTGCATGCCAGACGGTTTAGTTGTTAAATTTTTTAGAGTATCCAATAACAAATGTTTAATATTGGCATATTTAATATTGCTTCTGAAAAACTAAGAGTGAGTTTTGGCAACTAAATTTCTATAAGATTGTGTTTGGTGGAGAAAAGAAAATCACTTTTGGGTAGTAAAATTGTTTTATGAAGACGCTTTGTTATGTGTTTTTTTTTTAAAGAAAATACTTAAATTTTAAACTGGGAGTTAAAAATGTGATAAAATAAGAGTATGAGCATTTTTTTTTAATTTTTTTAGTACATTGATATTTTTACATTAGGGAGAGGGGAAGTTCGGTTAAGTTACATAACGAGCAATGTAATTTGGTATCGAATTCGCCATTCACGAGATTCGAACCTAAGACCTGTCACTTCCAAGTGAAGAGGAATACCACCAGACCGTAGTACTAAGTGGCGTGTGTGACCAGTTAAAAATATGTGTGTTTATTATTTTCGTTAATTAAAAAAAGAAAGAAAAGCATTTCTAACAATAACACTTACGAGAAGAAATGGTTATCGCAAAGGCATTCCAACACGAGCTCTATATAATCGTCTGTATTTTGTAATTAACACTTTTTGAATTGGTCATCAAAATTATGCAGTCCACCATAATTAAAGAATGAAAAAAAATTTACATATAAATAAATAAAAACGTATAAGAATTATTATCTTAACCCCAATGATATTTTTGTTATTCTTTACTTGTAATTTTATTTTTATTCTTGTTTCTAATATTTTAATTTTATAAACTTAAAGAAAAAAAATGCTCACTACGTAGTTTTGTTCTGTTAGTTTGTATCTTTTTAAAATTAAATAGTTTTATTTGAAAATTACGAAGAATTTTTTTAGATTATGAATGATTTATCATTTGTGTCTTCTCGTTTTATATATAGATATTAAGATTCAAAAAAAGTGGTTGTAATATATATATATGAGACACTTTGGATGCGGTCCTTAACTATCAATATTCTTTGATTGAAACCTTGTTAGTTTTTAGTTTTTGATTGAGGTCCCTGACATTAATGTAATAATGTAAGTTACTATATTTTTTTAATTAAAAATTAAAAATTGAAATTTGTAATTGTTTATATTAATGAGATTTTAAATAAAACCTATAATTTATGGGATTAAAAATAATAAAATATAAATTATACTCTCTATTATATTGTGTGTGTGTGTGATACATACATATATGTATGGATACATTAACCAAAATTAACAAAAAAAGTTATTGTACCAAAACATGGATGCATTCTCAAATCAACGAAAAAGAATGTACCCATATAAGTTTAAACATGGATTAAAAAATTTGAATGGATTTTATATTAAAAAAAGAGTACATTTTACATATAACAAATTGATATAATTGAGAATGGGTACATTTAAGATTAAAAAAATTGAAAAATTATACGAATGGGTACATTTAAGATTAAAAAATTGAGAATCTTTTTATATATATAAAAAAAAACTAATAGGTACAAACTTAATTTAATTTAATTTTTCATTATTTTAGAAATGTTTGAATTGAAAATTAATTAGAAGTTTAATAGAGGTGTGAGTATTAAACCCTAAATTAATTACTAATTTTTATATTAAAAAATTATATAATAAACAAGTAAATTCATTATCACATTAATGCTAGGGACTTGAATCAAAATTTGAGAACTAATAAGGTCTTGGTCAATGAACAGTAAAAACTAGAGACCGGATACTAATTTTTCCTATATATATATATATATAGAGAGAGAGAGAGAGAGAGAGAGAGAGAGAGAGAGGAGAACTAGAAATCAGGGAACGGAGAGAAAGTTCCATAATTTTTGTTTTTCTATGTGATTAATGCATAAAAATACTCGACTAGTTGTTGTCTCTTTCACGATTTGATAGTGTCCATGAAAAATCCTAATGTCGTGTGCAAACGTAAAATGAAATTGGAATTGTTAAGGTTTTTCGCATTTTAACATTTATTAATACATATGTCAAATTCTAATTTTTAACTTTCTCGTGTTTATTGACATGAGTTGGATTTATTCTAATTCTCGACTTTTCTACATTTATTAGCTTAAACATTGATCTTACAATTATTCTAATACGTTTAAATGACTGTCAATGATGTGTTTGGTTGACATGAGTTGGATTTATTCCTTCGTATTTACTAACACACGGAATAAAACATATTAAAATTCATTATGCAATTAAAAAAAGAATCATAATTGAAAAAAAAGTGAATACAAAAATTGAAAACCGAAAACAAAACAGTTATCAAACGACACCTAATTGTATCTCGCGTGGAAATTAACTTCGTCATACACCCATTTTGACACATCCCAACCCAAATCGAGGTGTGCTGGACCCATCATGGGAAGTTCTTGTGTGAGTTCCCAGAAACAAAACCTTGAGGGCGTGGTCGGTGCCCAAAGCAGATAATATCGTGTTACGGAAGAGTCGAGCCCGGAATGTGATGGGAGCCCGGGTCGGGATGTGACACATTTTCATTGAGATATCATGACAAAAATAGTTGTTTATCTCATACTTATCAGTTGCATATTGCTCTCCCAACAGAAAAAATTAGTAATCATGCCCAATTAGAGGGAGACAACCCATGAGTAGTTGAGTACTCGTAACTTTAACAAATTTGCATCTTATGGAATATTGGCCCATTGGGCTTCAATTCATGCACCCAAAACGGCATAAGATAAAAGCCTCGTTGCTTTTGATGGCAACCACAACCACACTTTTAGCCACGGCATTCGGCCCAACGGAAGATATTTTTCTGAGCGCGAAATCTAACCGTTAAAATCGTCGCAAAAAAAAAAAAAAAAGGATAAACAACACGAAAACATATGGTTGCAGGCCTTCTTCAACATTCACGCTCTTTATCTGTTTAAGAATTTGAAAAATGGCGATTGGTCTCTCACACCACCACCTTCTCTGCATATATTCCTCCAAATCCAACCCACCATTTTCAAAAACGCAAACACATGTCAGAAACCCGAAATCCTCCTCCGTCGCTCTTCGGACCATCCTTAAGTCGTCGTCTCCGAAAAACTCCAACACTTCGCTGCAAAGTTCGCCGGAAGAATCGAAGCCCGCCATCACTTCTAAGTGGGCTGACCCGCCCGGCAAAAACCCACCTCCCAGATTGTCTTCTTTCGACTCCCTCTTCATCCGCCTTCGTCGTTTAAGGTAGCTTGCAATCGTATTTTCTGTACCCAATTTTAAATTCCATTTTTGTTGGGGTTGTTGGAAATTTGTGATTTGAATATATGATTGCAGAGCTGAAAGGTTTAAACTTGATGGAATTTTTGTGGACATTTTGTCGATTGCTCTGCCTGCTGCTCTGGCGCTGGCTGCTGACCCTATTACCTCTTTGGTTGACACAGCCTTTGTTGGCCATTTAGGTATCTACTTTGTTCTTTGTTAATTGATACAGTTATATGTGTATTTGATAAATAGTACAAGAGTCCCACTACACATGGTTTCACTCATAATGGCACCGAGGCTTTAGTGATAAAACTCCATAGCTGCTGTGCAAGTAGGTGGTAAGATATTAGTAGTGGTCGGTCGTCCATGTATCTGAAATCTTGACAGTTTCTGCATGGTTTAGGGTCGGTTGAATTGGCAGCAGTTGGGGTGTCAGCTTCAGTATTCAATTTAGTTTCTAAATTGTTTAACGTTCCGTTGCTCAACATCACCACATCTTTTGTTGCTGAAGATCAGGCATTGGCTAGCAAGGCCCAGGATGGTAATTAGCAACTTTTTCTAGCAAGGCTTGTCATATTTAAGGCTTTGGAATTAATTCTTTGCTTTAATCAAAATGGTTTTGTGAAGATTTCCAGGGTGACAGCCAGAGCAAGAAGCTCCTTCCCTCAGTGTCAACTTCGTTGGCACTTGCTGCCACCATTGGCATTGCTGAAGCTGTTGCACTTTTTCTTGGGTCGGGTGTCTTGATGAATGCCATGGGTATATATGCTGTATGTCAATCCTCACCAGTTATCAGTTTATGTTGCTTTGTACTACTTTATTCCGCAAATGTATCTTAGATTCTTAATATAGTACTTCAGTTGAATTCAGTTTTGGTTGATGTCTTTGTGCAGTTTCTTTCTTTCACATGATTATTAATATCATGATTTGGAGTTGAATTTCTTATTTGTTTAGGTAGTTTTTACTGTCGCTTTTTCACTAGTATGTAGCAAACCTCTTTCTTCCTTCTCTGCGTCACTACAGACACACGGTATTCAAATGAAATTGAAAGGGGTACCATGGTTTCAAAGTTGGCTGATAAGGATGGAAGAAAAAGATTAGCATAAGGAGTAGGAAAATTTTCTCACTGTGGGATATGTAGCATCTATACATTTTGAAACTGACTGATGATGTTTCTGGATTTTTTATTTGAGGTTTGCTATTGTTATAGGATTCACCAATGCGAATACCTGCTGAGAATTTTCTTGCCCTAAGGGCATTAGGTGCTCCACCAATTGTAATTGCACTTGCCTCACAAGGCACTTTTCGTGGCTTTAAGGACACAAAGACACCTCTGTATGCCATTGGTATGTATTGTTCTGCATCTTTTTGAACTCAACTGTACTGTATTCCAACTGATAAAATGACAATGTCTGCTCTTTTGTGTCAGTTGCTGGCAACTTACTTAATGCTATATTGGATGCAATTTTGATATTTGCTTTTGATTTTGGAATCCGCGGTGCTGCTATTGCTACAGTGATTTCTGAGTACGTCAACGATGTGGTAAACTTAATTATACTGGTGGATTTTGATCTTGATGTTCCTATCATAAAATTCTGTCAAATTTTTTTTTCTAACAGAACTCTTCATGTCTATTTTTCGCAAGGTACCTGATTGCTGCTATTCTTCTGTGGAAATTGAATAGCAAAGTATTACTTGTCCCTACCTATATTGATGGGGGAAGAATAATCGGTTACCTTAAATCTGGTAGGTTCTTTGTGAACTTGTTTATGAAAAATAGATGATAGTGATATATGAGTTTTTCTAAATATGTCCTTTATATTTATCAGGGGGTCTTCTTATTGGCAGAAGCTTAGCAGTAGTTGTAACTACGACACTAGCCACATCCATGGCAGCCCGGGAAGGTCCTATCCCCATGGCTGGCCATCAGATTTGCATTCAAGTTTGGTTGGCAGTATCTTTGCTTACCGATGCTTTAGCACTTGCTGGTCAGGTGTGACATATTTTACTTTACAAGTTTCATATGACTTGTGAACAATTTACATAGAAGAATTTAATGAAATAAATTATGTGAACGAACTAGCTTTAGTTTAATCATTACAATGATGTATCTTCACAGGCACTTCTTGCCAGTGGTTACTCCCAACAAGATTATGAACAAGCACGCCTAGTGATTTATAGGGTTCTACAGGTCCATATTTTTCTCCTTTTTTTCCTCCACCTTGTTATGGTATTGATGTCATAGCTAACCCTGAATCTCCATTCACTGTTCTTTGAATTTCAAACAGATTGGTTTAGTGACAGGAATTGGTTTGGGAATTATATTATTCATCAGTTTTAAAGCGTTTTCTAGCTTATTCAGCACAGACCCACAAGTCCTGGCAATTGCATGGTCTGGTTTATTGGTAGGATACTACATATCTCAACGGTTTACTTGTTGCTTGTATCATATGTACAATTAGTTGCACTGCTACACATACCTGATATGGATACTGTTTGTCAGTTTGTTGCTGGATCTCAGCCAATAAACGCTATAGCATTTGTTATCGACGGACTGTACTATGGAGTTTCAGACTTTGGATATGCTGCCTATTCAATGGTATTCCCGGATCCGATCATGAACAACAGATTGGTTATGTCATATGGTCTCCTCTCACCTCTCTTTCTGTTTGGGTAGGTGTTAGTAGGGCTGATTTCGTCCACAGTCATACTCATTGCTTCTCCGTCTTTTGGCCTTGCTGGAGTCTGGACGGGGCTGTTTCTCTTCATGGCATTGCGCGTAGTAGCCGGGATTTGGAGGTAAATTAATTTCTGTATGAGATCATGTCATCGCGCAACTTGAACTTCTTGACAAATACTATTGCACTCCAGGTTGGGCACAAGAACCGGACCATGGAAATTGGTCTGGGATGAGAAGAAGCAGGAAACTTAGGGTGACGAATGTTCAATCTCCTGGTAAAGGAGAAGAAAAATACTCATCAGGGGTTATCGAACACAAGTAACGTCTCCAAAGTCCGATGCTAATTGCGTAACCTGTTTTCGAACACAGGTTACGTCATGGTGTTCAAGGGCCTACCTGATTATTAAGACGACCTGGATCAACAAGAGAGAGTGACTTCGACTGGCTTCCGACTACTCGCTAGATTCAGTATGTCGGGATGCAAATGCTGATCGGCGTTCCAAACCGAAGCTTTGTTCCCCTCGATACTTCACCAGGCTCTTGTAATATAGGGGGGTTTTGTGTATAAATACTGTAGCTCAAAAATAGCTCAGATATACATTCTTACGGAAAAAGAAGGAAGCATTTGTGACAAATATCACCATTTTTAGTGGCAGTAACATATGAAATTATAAAACGCCTACAAATGTTTGTAAAACGACATCAAAGGTTCTGAAATGGAAGGGAATATATAGATTTTATTATTTTTTGGGTTAAAGATGCAGCTAAAATCTCCTATTTAATCCAAATAACAATCTCAATTAAGAGTAAGGGAACCATGAATCATTTAGGCAGCCCCTGCTCTTCCATTGCACCAGAATCGTAACTTTGTCGATCGATATCCACGCCTAAATGTGCGTACTCCGTGTGATTCGAGCTTCCAGGTATGTCGGGATGTGGTTGTGTCTGCAACTGAATAGGGAGATTATGCGTCCTCCCCCATTGTTGGTCCTCAGCAGCATCAATGCCATAGGTTTCCTCTGCAGACCAGTTATGCACGTAGTCAAGTCTGTCGTCGAGCTCTGTCTGCATTCCGATATCATTCCAAGGATTAATGCCATATCTCGGACCGTATGCCACATCTAAATCATCTAAACAAGCATAACTATGTATGAAGCCATTGCAATTATGGCCATCTAATCTCGTTGTTTCTGCAAATCCTCCTTGCAATTCTTGATTCGTCATCGATAACTTCATTTCAACATCCTCAGAAGGCTCAAAATTGGTTACAAGAATTTCGGCCGCGTTTATTTGCTCACCATGTATGTTGTTGTACTTCTCATCTACCCCGTTGTGACTTCCGGATTCCAGAATCACCGGAAATGGTTTCTCCGCGGCTTCCCTCATTGCCGGTGTCTCAACTTTGACATCATTTGAAGGCTTGCAACTGTTTCTCCGATTGCATTCCCCATCTACAAGCTCAGTTAAGTAATCATAATTGGACCTCAAAAGTATCTCCAAAGGATCCATATCGTTACAAGGCTTACAATCAAATACCGTATCAAAATTCACAACCAGGGGCTCATTAGGCAAGTAATCTCCCCTATGATCGAAGCTTCCATAGCTCTCGGTCTGAAAAACATCATCGTTCTTAACAAGCTCACGTTCAGTTTCGTATTCACATTTCACAGCTTTTGGTTCTCTTGAGGTAGCACGTAAAACATGTAATTCCTCTGATACAGAACAATCCGTTTCCTGCTTTTGCTCTTTGGCCACACAATCCTCAAAGAATCCTGATCTTCCCCCTGCCGCATCCGCATTATTGTATGTCAATGAGGACTCATGCGACGATGGTGTTTTAGATGACACAGAATTAGAGTAGTAGTCCTTCGAGTCCACAGCATTGTCGGGGAAGTTGAGCCGGGCCAAAGCACCATAAATTGCTCTAGCAGCTTTATCATAAGCAAGAGCAGCTTCATAGGCTGTAGGGAAAGTACCAAGCCAAAGACGCCTATTCTTCTTCGTAGGTACAGAACCGGCTCTAGCTCGAATTGGTTCTCGAATTTCCGCCACCCATTTTCCCCAAGTCCTCTGCCTAACACCCCTAAATACACAATCTGAGTTCTCCGGCCCTCCTTTCCCCCTCATGCAGCCTTTTCTGGAGCCCTTCGCCGGAGCCCGAGTCTTCTTCCCTCCATCTTTCCCAGAATCAAGCCTCTCATTGTAGTTCTTCCACTTGGTCAGTGTGTCCTCTATCGATTCGCACCCGTTGCGCCTCTTCCGCAATTTCCTTTCCCTGAAAGGTTAAACCACATTCAAAGCTAGGTTCAGCTTTCAAATAATCAGCACGAACAAATTAATTTCCAGGCACCTATCTTTTGGGGTTTGGGATTGCTTTGATAGGAAGCATTTCTACTCGAGTGCATTTTTGCTTATCGTGCGGTGTATGCTCACCACCTATGTATCACTGTTAGATAAGTTTGAATTTTGAGATTTGTGCTTATCCACTACACGAATCTTGAAATTCAAACTCATTTAACGATGATAAATAGGATGATGAGCATACACCACACTAAATGATGTGAACAAAAATGCTTCATTTCTACTCGTAAGTGTGTGCTAAAAGTGCGTCCATTAGAAACATATTGCAGACTTTATTAAAAGTGCTTTTAAGAACTTTTGCTAAAAGTGCTTTTATTATAAACATATAAAACTTTTTATGAAAAACCCAAATGCTTTTTCAAGAAGCACTTGAAACTTCTTCCTGAATAAACATTGCACTTGTACACGAAGAAAGTTAGAATTCTACAATAAAACTAATTAGCAATATGAGAAGTAGACCAAACTTCTTCATGGTATCAAAGTATGTTGCGTCACTTGTGAGCCCAACAATCACGTGCTCCGCGTCACCCTATTTGTATTGTCCACATATTAGCTTGAAAAGGTTTAAAGTATCCCCAATTGAGGTTTTATCCTTCTCGAGGCCACTACATTTGTATCTCTAATGAAAAATTTCATCCTGATGAGCCGAAAATGGAGCTATAACCACCACAGACTAAAAACTTCATTCCATGGGCACCAACAAATTAAACTACATCTAGTCTCAAAAGGCAAGGACCTTTTTCTTCTGTTTTTTTCTTTCTGTTTTTTAGTTTAGAGATGGGTGTGCTCTATTTTTAATTCCAAAACATGATTTTAAGAATTTATTGTTTATCCGTTTGTTTAATTAAGAAAACATAAATAAATTTTGTGTTATTGATTAATGAAAAAAATATTGTGTTTTGTATTTATTTTCAAGATTGAAAAGTTCATTAAAAAAAAAGTGATGAAATTTAACATTGGTAGTTCAGAGATCCGGAAAGCATAAATAAACAACATACTTAAATTGTAAAGAGATTACAATTTTGTTATTTGAAAGCATAAACAATCAAATTCAAAAGTTGTTTTGAAACAAAATCTTATCTTGTCTGGTTTCATAAAAATAAATGAATGAATGATATTCAGATAAGAGAATTTAACCAACGGTGCATGAAGTAATAAAATCTAACATCTTCAAAATTTGAATTTTTGAGGTTGAAAACTTCATAAGAAAGATGTTAGATAGCACGTTAAAAAATAAACTTTAAAACAAAAGTAAATTTATTAGCATAATCAAATTTCTACATAAATAAATATATAACTCATATAGAGACCGGAACATATAACCCCTTACTAACAAAGAATCTTTTTAGAGCCATATCAGAGCTTTAAATTGAACTATATCCACCACTTTTTTCAGCCTCATATAAAGCAGTTCATTAGAGATGCTCTTATAAGAAGTTGGCTACTCCTTGTATTGTCAGTTGATTTATGACGGAACTCCAATTTTCTTCAACCGCAGTCATAATTGTTTTAAGCGATGCCATGACCAAATCCCAAGCAGGAAAGACTTCCCAAAACTCCCCAAAACTTCGATTTCTCAAAGGAAATGATTCACACAGAGAACCCCAGATAAAAAATCAAATAAAAACTCAAGAACTCACCCGTCCGAAGCCTCGGACTCCATGCAAGTTCAGAAATCTGCCTGCTTTCTTCTTCCTTTTTATCTGAGTCGGTTTCCGAAGTCTTCCTTCAGGCGTCGAATATGCAGAAATATATGACCTTTTCGACCTAAGTTAGTTGAAAATTCGGAAAAGGGTTTATGTAGGGTTTAGGTGCGAGCTGGCTTTTGCCCCTTGAGCAAGGCTTCGAGACGTTTTGGACGAGCTTGGGTTTTCTCCTTTTTCGGCTAGTGGGTTTATGGGAGCAGATAACAACAACAAAGCAATGGCGTCAGACTCTCACTTGGGCACGAAGGTACTGAGAGATGGTCCCGAAAAGGATTAACGTGAATTTGATGACATGGACAGCTCACGGGTTGATTTTTAGCCCCTGCTTCGACACGTAACAGCCGTGCACTGTATTGACCCTTCGGTTTCTTACTCACGAAGTCCTTTCTTTTCTTTTCTGTTGCATTTATAATGGCAGCTGCGGTTAGTGCTCTAAGATGAAGCTAGTTTATTAGGCATTCACCAGTACAAGCATGTACGAGAAGGCTCGAAAACACGTTTACGACTAAAAGTGTTTTGAAATTATATAAGCATGTCTCAAAAGAACGTTTAAGAGATGAAGTGTTTTATCTATCAAAATAGTTTTAAACAAGGAGAGTGATTTTCATGTTTTTTCAGTCTTTTATACACTCTTGTTTAATCTTCATCGTTGAGTTTGTTGCAATTATTGAATCTAATGGTTACAAATAAAAAAAAATGTGTAAAAATAAGTAGACTAAGGGCTGATTTAATATTGCTGTGCTTTGAAAAAAAAACTATTTCTGCTGTGTTGTGAAAATAAGCTTATTTTTGCTGCTTCACGTTTTCGGTTTTTTTTTTACCCAAAACTGTGAAAATAAGTTGTTTTTAAATATTTACAAAATACTTTTTTGAACTCAACCTTTTTTTTATACTTACTTTTTATAAAAACATCACAATAACAAATCAGTACTTAAACAAACGCTTAAGACATGATGTCATGAGTTCACTTGTTATAATCAATAAACTTATCGGATAATTAATAAAAAATTTGAGAATACCAAGTAGGACTGTAGGCGTGCCAGACTGCACCAAACTGCATCATGAAGTTTTCCGGTAGGTAACGCACCAACAAAATTCGTCTAGGACAAGAAAAAGTAACTTTTCATCCAAAGATCCGAAGAAAGTTTGATTTGTTTTTGTCTTTTTCCGAAACCAAAGAAAAAAATAAAGAAAAATTAATAAAAAAACTTGAAAATTTTAAATTTTAACGATAAGGACAAAATAAAAAATAAAGTGAATAGTACCATGATTGACTTTTTAGTGTAAAAATATGGTTTTTCATTAAAGTGAACAGTACCATAAGCTTTTCGTTAAAGTTCCTAAAAAATAATACATTTATAATTTGAAATTTTTTATGAAAAGGGTTTAGGTTAAATTTATTTTAATTAGAAACCATGCATTAATTTTATTTAATAAAAATTATTTAAATTTTAATAAAAAAGTCTGAAATTTTAATAAAAATGATAAAAAAACTTTAAATTTTAATAAAAAATATAATATTAATATTAAAAAAATAAAAAAGAACTGACGATTATGATTAAAAGTGTATTAGAGGCTCAAAAAGACGTTTACGAGTAATAGTGTTTCAAAACTATATAAGTATGTCTCAAAGAGATGTTTAAGACGCGAAGTGATTCATCAAAATAATTTTAAACAAGGGAAGTAATTTTCATACTTTTTAAACTATTACATACTTCTGTTTAATAATCCGACAATTATAATAAAAAAATAAGTAAGAAATAAATTTAAAAAATGTGTAAAAATTATTATCGTTATGTTATGAGTTGACAAGTTATAATCAATAAACTATCACATAATGAATAATAAATTTGGGAATACGAGGTAGGAGTTCTAGACTACACCAAACCGCGTCGTGAAGTTTGCGGTGAAGCACCAAGAAAGTTCCTCAAGGAAAAGAAAGAGTTGAACTTTTCATTCCAAGAAGAAATTTCGAAAGTTTGTTTATGTTTTTGTCTTTTTGCGAAACCAAAGAAAAAACAGTTTTTATTTTGAAAAGTGTTATTGACATTCTAAAAATCTCATTCTACACTCCTCACAAGTGTATTTTTCTTTCTAAATATAAAAAGTTTGCAGTGTAAAATGAGAATTTTGAAGTGTCAATAGCAATTATCTTTATTTTTTTATTTTTACATAAATAATCGAGTAAGCTACAGTAAATGCATGAAATGCAAAGGCAAGGAAGATTCAAATGCGAATTTGAAGTGTAAAGACAAATGCTCTTAATGAATCAAACTACAAGTTACTTGTTAAATGTTAAATAGCCAAGTTTACGGTTTTGGATTAAGAACCAAAATAGAAAAGGAAAATGTAGACTTGAGAAATGCTTCCAAATTACTAGTAAAAAAATTTCAACCAATAACAGCTTCTTTTACAAAAAGGTCGTGCTGCATACACTAAATTTATGCACCAAATTTTTGTTGAGGTACAAAATAACTAGTAACAACTTCTTGTACTTATTTTGAATAATATTCATATCTTTACTTGGGAATTCCAAATTGAATTTGGTATAGTTCTCAGATCGAGTGTTTTTTTTTCTTTCTAAACAAACAATATTATCTACAAGAAAAGCAGGAGTGGGTTTAGCCTGACAATGATGTAGTAATAATATGGTTTAAACTCGCATTTGGTGAGAATCGAACTTAAGACCTCTCACGTACAAGTGGAGAAATACAATTAAACCGTAATATTAAGATTTGAATTGTATTAGGAATAATGTCAAGGCAGTAATCTGACCTTCATTTGACTGGAGATGACACGATAGAGTCACCGGCGAGGGTATGGTAGTGAGGTGAATGGTTGTGCCATTTTTTGTTTATGGAGGGTGGGGTGGATTTAACAAAAGCAACGGTAAACCTGGAATTATTGAGACAAATTTTAATTGTAACTTGTGAGGTGTTTAAGGAGTAATGCTTGGTACATAAATTTACAAATTAAATTATGTTTTATTAATAAGGAAAAACGCGTGTCAACTTTCATGTTATTTAATTTACAAATTTAATTTATCTTATTTTACCTTTCAACATATTAAAGAGTGTTAATAAAACAAGCCCTTTTAATTTCATTTAAAAATTTAATCTCGACAAAACTTTTTGTACGAATGTATTGGCGCACCGAAGAAAACTATTCTCTCGATTTTTCTTGTTTATTTTATTTTTATTTGGATTTGTGATTTTTCATGCCATATTTCTCTTGGCAACTGACATTTCTTTGGAGTTTTGTGATTGTCTTTACAAATGGTGAACTCCCGAAGCAAGGGGAGATTTTTCAGTGTAATAATCATACGAGATGTTATATCACGTGTGTCTCTGTAAATGATGAGTTATGTGTCTTAAAAGGTTAATAACTTAAAAATTAAAATTTTCCACTATTTGCATAAAAACACATGATATACTATCTGTATTCCCATCACAACTAAAAATTTCTCCAAATGAAGGCTGCTACAATGCACTCCAAAATCAGCCGCAAGAAGCTTGATCTTATCAACGGTGACGTTCCAATTCCGATCCTTCTTTTCTATTGTTTCAAATTTCAAACAACTTGGATTTCCAATTTTTTAAAAAAATGTTTCTAACTTCTTTTTTGGAAACTTTAACGAAAAACTACATTTTTACACTAAAAAGTCAATCCTGCTACTATTCAGTTGACCTTTTATTTTGTCCTTATCGTTAAAACTCAAAATTTTCAAGCCTTTTTCATTAGTTTTCCTTTCTTTTTTTTGTGTGTTCCTCTCGTTTCCGTACAGAAGATGCGAATCGTCTACCAGTATCATTTTTCTTGAAATTTCTTAAATATTTTTTGGATACTTTGGATGCGGTTTCTAGCTATCAATATTCTTTTATTGAAACTTTATTTGTTTTTAGTTTTTTTTTATCAAAATCCCTGACATTAATGTAATAGTGTATGTTACTCACTGTTCTAAAAATCCCCACCTAGCGCCGCCTAGGCCCCGCCTAGGCGCTAGGCCCCAGCCCACCGCCTAGACCACCTAGGCACCCGCCTAGGTTACAACTCACTTAGACAGAAAATACATAACTTTCATTTTGCATTTTGTTTTTTTTCCAATAAATTGTAAGAGACTTGTTGCATACTTGAATGAACAAACATTATATCCTTATTTCATATGTTTTCATTATGTTCCAATACTTCATGATATATATGCATTCTATTTTGTAGTTTATGATGAAATTATATATATTTCAAGTAGAAGCAGACACTTATTTACATGAAATATGATAGATTTACTTAAATCCGCCTAGCCGCCTATGCGTTAGGCCCTAGCCCGCCGCCCGACTAGCGCATATCGACTTTTAGAATCTTGCTATGTTTTTTTTAAATTAAAAATTAAAAATTGAAATTTGTATTTGTTTATATTAATGGGATTTTAAATATAACCCATAATTTGTTGGATTAAAAATAATAAAATATAAATTATACACTCTATTATATTGTGTGTGTGTGTGTATGTGTATGTAAATATATGAGTACATTCATCAAAATTAACAACAACAAAAAATTATTGTACAAAACATGGGCACTGTCACAGCCCGTCCCGGAATTTTAATTCCGAGGACGTGAAATTACAGAAACGCCCTTAAACGGGATTAAGGTGCGTAATTTTGACATTTGTTTTACCTAAAAACATCCTAAACTAGGGTTAGATTTTTAATTGTATGTGTTAATATTTTGTATCTAGACTTAGGTGGGAGCCCCACTTCCTGAATTCCTTCCCTAAAACCCGTAAGCTTTATTCTCTCTTCTTATCCCTCTCAGTAACACTCTCTCTCTCTTTCTTCTTCGTAGAAAAACTCTCTCTCTTACTCTCGAACTCACTCGAACTCACGGCAAACACCATGAACAACCACAATCCTACACGAACGTACAATCTAAGATCACCATCGTGATCTTGGGAACTTCACGAGCACGGGGGTACAAGTTTCAAGTAAGTTTCATTTCAAAAACCCTAGTTTTAAAACACCCCGTGATTAAGCACTGTTCACAAACTTTGTTATGGTTGTGTTTTAGGTTAAAACAAGATCACCATGAGTCTTAGGAAGTCCCAAGGAGGCTCGGAGTGCCTCGTTTGAACAAAATGGACGTCGGGATCGTTGGGTTCGAGTTTGGCCGAATTTGAAGAATTTTGAAAGGT